CACCACTGGATGCCCCTTACATGTGAACTTGAAGGTGATATTGTTCATTGCCATCGAGTTAGAGCCAACTCACAGCAGACCCTCCATTGCCTTTTCAGAAGTGTTTTTAAATTTTTTTGAAATTATTTTTGCATGTGTACCGTCAAATCAGATCTGACTGGTACAGGAGGAGATGGTCCCTCCTTCTCCAGCAGAGCGTCTGGTGGATTTGAACTGTGCTCCTCTGGGACTGCAGCAAATCCACCTCTCTTTTCAAGATGGTATTGTTTTAGGTGCTATTGAGTAAGCATCCACTCATAGCAACCCTGTGCACACAGGGCAAAACATTACCCATCCCTGCCCCATCCTTAACGTGTGGCCGCACACTTTTTAAAATTGACGACCGTGCTTAGAAACACATTTGCTGTCGTTTGCGGCAACGTGTTAATATTGTTTCTGTGCTTCAGCGCATTGTTGAAGCCACTGTGTCGGTCCTTGTTGTCGAGGGTCGTCTTTTTTGCAGACTCTCTAGTTTGCCAAATGTGCTATTCTACCCAGAGTGTGTGAGACCAGAGTCTCACTATCTTTGCATCTAAGGAAACTCTTGACTGTATTTCTTCTATGGTTTTACCATTGTCCAAGAATATTGAATTCCTCCGAGGGGCAGAGAAGAATGAATATTCTGTGGATCCTTCTTGGGAGCTATTGCAGTGGTAACCAGCCACAACCCAGACACTGAGCCGTTTGACAGTATGAGGTGATAAGGTGGCCAGTCATCCTTGCAGATAGACAGAACAGTGGTTCCACAGAAAATGCTCACCTGACTCTTGAGCGGGGAATCTCAGGAATGCAAGCGGCTACCATGCTTTTTCCTTTTAGACTATTCTCAAAAAGGGAAAAAAAATTTTTGACGCTCTTGTAAAAAAAATGCTTGGACACACGGGGGTGCCTTTACCATTTCAGGGACCCACAAGGTTTGTTCTACAAGGTCTCACAGGGAGCTGGTGCCTCCCCAATTGCCAGCACCTGGCGACTCTCGACTGAAGGTGACCCCACACATGTCGGAGCAGCACTGTTTTCCCCAGGGTCTTCAGTGGATGCTTTTATTTTTTTTTTCTATAATTATATTTTATTAATTTTCATAAACATTTACAGAGATTTTGGGCTTCCACTCATTCATTGTTGCACTGTTCTCTCCACCCTCCTCCCAGTTTGTTCTTGTCCAAATGCCACAGTGCTTGTCAAAGCCAGTTCCGATTAATCTTCTTTGTCAGTGTGTCCTTTGCCATTCCCCATCACTCCTCCCTGAGAGAGACTTCACCCTGAGTCATAAGGAAAAGGGGATGGCGTATTCTCTTAGCTACTTCCTGCTGAAAAGGGACGCTGTGGGTTTCAGGGTGAAGATCTTCTCTCACTACTCTAAAGGGCCCCTTTGGCAGTAGGAAACACATAGACTATTATGGAGATTGATTCTGGAATTTAGATGCACTCTTATTGATTGTGCTTGGCTGTACATGTTCATATCCTTGAAGATGTATCATGGGGGTGTTGCAACCTAGAAGACCCAAATTTGACTAACAAGTTATAAGTACATGAGTCCAAAAATTATGGAAAAGTAAAAGAAAAGATTCTTTCATTGTTTTACAAACCCTCCCCCAGGTCCCCTCCACCATGTAGCCCTCGCTCTAGTCTCCTGTGATGACAGAAATACCCAGTTATATCTCTCTTTTAAACGGTTCTCTCCCTCCTCTGTTTCAGTGCAGTATACATTATTGAACGCATCTTACTCAGTCTCTCCCCAACCCCAAGGACAGTCCCATTCTACAACAGTGGCATCATGTAATATTTGTCCTTTTGTGACTGGGATATTTCACTCAGCATAATGTTCTCCAGAGTCAACCATTTTGAATAATATTGCATGAGTTCCTTGTTTTTTAATGCAGCATAGTATTCCATTGTGTGAATATACCACAGCTTCTCTAGCCATTCGTAAAAAATTATTAATATTTTTAGATCACTAGACCTTTCTTCTGAGGTGCCTTTGGGTGAATTTGAACCTCCGTCCTTTGGTTATCAACCAGGCACATTAGCAGTTTGCACCAGCCAAAGACTACTCAGTGCATGCTGTTGTTGGGTGCGTCAGCATCTGTTCTAACTCATTAGACGGAGTACTGCCCCAGAGGGCTTCCTAGGCAGTGACCTATAGAGTTAGCAGCTGCTATAGATGGATAGTCTCTTACTATGAGATTTGCAGCCTCAGAAAAATCCACTGGAGGGCTGAGTAAGAGTTGGTTCCCACTTGACAGCAATGAGTCTGAGTTTTGAATCTCTCTGGGAACAGATTGTCAGATCTTTTCTGGTGGGTTTAAACTACCAACCTTTTTGGCTAATAGCAGAGCTTATAGCCATCACACCACTAGGGCTCCCTGCTCTGTATATAAACCTGTTAAGTGCCAAATAGATTCTGACCCATAGTGACTCTAGGGGACAGAGGAGAACTGCTCCTGCAGGGTGTAAAGCTGCTGTCATTACAGACGCAGACTGCTTCACCACTTCCCTTGGAGCAGCAGGTGGATTTGAACCGCTGATCTTTCAGTTAGTAGCTCAACTCTCTTGAGTTGTGTGTGTTGGAGTTCCTGACAGTGGGGTTTATTAGGGAAGTAAGTTGGAGAGTGGGGGAAGCAAAGACTACCACCCAATGCAAGTCCAGATTTTAGCCCAGCTTCTTCCCAGTGTCCAAGAATATTGGATTCCTCTGAGTGGTGAAGATTGAATATTCCTTGGACTCTTCCTTGGGAACGGTTGGAATGGTAAACAGCCCCACGGCAGAATTCCTCAATTATCCCAGGTCTCAGTTTCAGTTAAGCAAGCAGCTTTTCCTTCCATCGTCTGGTAAGAACAGAAAAACCTGTATCTGTGGCCTTTATCTCAGGGCTCCTCTGGTTACACCTTGCCACAGTTTATCCACAGCAATGCCAGAGTCTCTCTACCATCCTCCTCAGAGTCTCACCCCCCCAGGATAGCACGCTCATCAGGGTCTCACTCCAGTCTCCCTCAAGTCTTGTGTGGGAAGCGCTCTCAGTGTGGGAAGTACTCTCTCTTGTTTTACACTAGTCCCACAGCTCTTGATGGTTTACGAGACTGTATGTCTGCAGTTAAGGTAGCTGGCGACCAGAGGGGTATAAAATAATGGCTAACACACCAGCTTTAGGCTAAAAACCCAACTTTAGGCTAACACTTTTTCTGTTCTATATTTATTATTATCTTTAAAAAATCAGCCTTCTCCTTAACATTGTCTAAGCAGTTGAATGCTTTAACTGCTGTGCCACCAGGGCTTTGCTGTGTGGACAGTAGATGCTAAAACTCCCCTTACTGTTTGTGCTTTCAGGTTGAACCTGATCATAGTTTGACCCTCCAGCAAGCTTTCAGAGACAGTAGATCACACAGGAGGAGATTGCCTGTCCTTATCCTGTGGAACATCTGGTGGATTCGAACCATGTGCCTTTGAGGTTGCTGTGCACTTTCTTACCACTGGGCCGCCAGAGCTCCTGTTGAGTTTATTTGTTGACAGAACAAGAATAAGTTCATTATTGTCTGAGGAAGTTTCTTAACTAGTTGGGAGAGAATGAGAGTATCAAAGGGTGGCCTTTGTACTTGTGGCTTACCTGTGGGGCATGATCACCTGTGGTTAACAGACGGTTTGTTCTTTGGACTCTGGGAACAGGTTGGGAGGCAGGTGACTTGGCATTTGGGAAAGAAAGTGGGAGACAGTCTGTTTCCTTGATCTGCTGGCATCCAACCCGTTTGAGGGTTCCCCACCTACTTTAATTGAAACTGTAAACCCAAAGGTAGGGATTTGCACTGCTGACCCAAAGGTCATATCTCTGGTGGTTCAAATCCACCAGCAGCAACTTGGGAGAAAGAAGGATAATCTCCTTCCAAGCAATATATAGTCTTGAAAAGCTGCTAGAGGGTCCGATAACCCTAACCCTAACCTACACAGTCCCAATGAGAGGGAGAAGGAAGACGTTTGGAGGGCTTAATGGGTTTGTTGTTGGACTGCTAACCAAAAGGTTGCCAGCTCAAACCCACCATCTGCTTTGCAGAAAAACGAGAAGGCAACCTATCCCCGCCCTGCCCAACAGGGTTTCTGAGTCAGAAATCGACTCCATGTCTTTGGGAATAGAGCCTCCAGGCTGCCTTGAGAGAGTTAGTGTGTGTAAACCACACAGCGTAATGCCGGACACACAGAAAGCGCCTGGTGTGGTGGTTAGTGAGAAACACACCTGTCTTCCTTGAGCCAGTTCCGGCTGATGTCGACTGACCTGTGTCGTGGAGTAGAACCGCCCCGGGTTTTTGGCGGGTCACCAGACCTCCCTTCTGCAGTTGCTGGGTAGGTCCAAGCCACCAACCATTTGAATAGCAGCTGTTGGTGAGCCCTAGGGACCTCCAGTTGTTAACTAAAACCAAAAAGCCCACTGCTGTCAGGCGAGTCTGGCTTCCAGTGACCCTCCATTGCATTTTGAGGCTGTGGTGTGGAGTCTCTCAGGAGCCGTCACCACTCAGAAGACCGTGCCTTTCAGACAGTTGAGTCCACTTGCCGGTTCTGACACAATGGCAGTGGGTTTTGAACTTCTGAAGTCTTTATGGAAAGGTGCACACGGTCCTGCCGGTGAACTGAACCGCCACAGTATGTAATGCCCTGCTCCGCTGAGCACTTTATGATTGATGGCTGTTTATTTTTATTATTGGGAAGTGAAGGAGATGGGTTTTATTCCCTTGGAGGAGCCTTGGTGACCTGCACCAGGTCTCCTGTCTCATGCACAGAACAGACACAAACACGGGTCGATTTTTGAGTTGCACGTGTCTGCCCTGCCCGCCCTTCCGCATCATCGTGCCATTGTTTTGATTCCTCCTTGTTCATTTTCAGGAGGGAGATACTATCACGGGCTCTCACCTTCTCGCCTCCTGGCTATCTGGAGAGAGGCTGGTGACCAGGTCTCTGGAGGCAGCTCAGAGCCATGGAGCAGTATAGCCGTGGGGACGAGGGGACCCTTCCAGCTGAGAGGCACCTCCCATCCTCCGAGCACCAGGGCCTCAGCTGCAGCAACCCCCTCAACCGGGACCTGGGCCCCAACACACGCGACCTGCTCTATGCCGGCCTGAGCCGCCTGAGCCTGAACCCCAGTCTGCCGGCGCCTGACTTGCCGGGTGAGGTGCTGGAGGACAACCTGGACACCCTGTCCCTACACTCGGGCAAGGACAGCGATTCCGTGAAACTAGTGGAGGAATACACAGACCCGGAGTCTCAGACCGCCTTACAAGGTGAGGCTGTCCGCCGCCCTCATGGCCAGCTAGCGACAGGTCAAGAAAGTGTTCCTCTTCTGTGGTAAAAGAGGGCAGCCCCCCTTTTATTGCTCAGGAATCATGTCCAGTCTCCTCTATAAAGGAGATTGGACTCTGATCCATCAGGTCAATATTAAGGAATTGAGATTTCTGGGGATGGCCCGCTCTTTCCCGAGGGCAAGAGTTAGCGATCTGAAGTTCAGAAAGAGCCCTGGTGCAGGAGGTTGGCAAACCAACCTGTCAACCCGGGAGAAAAGACCTGGCCATCAGGTGTCATAAAGAGAACAGGATCTTAGGTAGCTCTGGTGGCCTGGTGGCAAGAAGCTGCACTGCAATCCCAGAGGTACGTGGTTCAAATCCACCAGATGCTCTGCTGGAGAAGGAGAGGCAATCTCCTCCTGTACCAGTCAGATCTGATTTGATGGTACACGCACACAAAATAATAATTAAAAAAGATGACAGGATCTTGAGTAAAGTGGGAGTCAAAACTTGACCTGCGTTGTTTTCTCCTCCAACCATAGTGCTAAGGGTCAAACAGAGAAAACCTGAAAGACAGGAGAGCACAGGGAGGGCGGACGTTAACAATAGAGGCCAGTAGTAGTAGTTAATCATAGCTCGTTGGTAACAGTTCAAAGTCCTCCTCTTCCGCAGCCGAGGAATAGAGGGAGGACTAACAAAATCATTAAACAATGTTTTTCATCCTCTTCTGGTTTCCTAGAGGAGACATTAGTTTGATCTGTTTATTTTTAAACTCAGTCCACTAGCCAGTTGCCTCGGTTGGTTGACTGAACTAAGAGTTTTCTGGTAGATAAAATCACGTCATTCACCTCGTGGCAAGAAGCTGCACTGCAGTCCGGAAGGCACACAGTTCAAATCCACCAGACGTTCTGCTGGAGGAGGAGAAACAATAACCTGTAGTCGGATCCAATTCGAGGATACATGGGGAAAAAAAAGAATCACATCACACGTGTCTGAAATGATGCTACGAAAGAAATACATGACTGTCGTGTAACACGGAGTATGGGCCTCGCTACCATGTTGGAACAATACCTTGAGTTTGAAATCAGAATCACGGGCTATTGAGCGGACGTCTGCAGTGGTAACTTCTGGGGGTACAGGAATTAGGGTACCTGAGCCACAGAAATGATGCACATAAGTTTGCTGGGCAAAACCTGGAGCTTTTTTGAGATTTTTTCCAAGAACTTGGGCTGCCCAAAACAGTCGCCACTTCAGGGAAGCACAATTTTTTCCTAATCTCCTTCCTCTAAACTTGAAACACCCAGTTTAGAGATTAAAAACAACCACTACCACCAGAAAACAACCCACCGGATGTAAAATGTTGTTAACCATTTCTACTTCTCCAGGTTGCATGCGGGCCCTCGCAGGCAGGTTTACCCGCTTCTGTTGTGCTTTGCAGGGGCCATGATTTTTAAATCTTTTTGCCGCAAAAGGAAGGTTTATGGCAACTCTGCACGAACAAGTCCATGGACATCTTTCCCTCCATGGCATGTCCTTGCTTCCTGTCTCTGTGCCACATTTTGGTAATGCTCACAGTATTTGAAAACTCTTTTATAGTATCATTGCATACTGCCCCAAAGTATAAACAGCTTTTCTAAGTCCTGGGAAACAAAACCCCTGTGTTCCTTGTCTATCCCTTTGTCCTCTGTCCTGATATCCATTTTTATTTTTACATATATATATATATATATGTGTGTATATGTATATGTATATATATGTATGTATGTATATGTGTGTATATATGTATATGTGTGTGTATATATACACGTATACACAAAGTAAGTCGAAGATCTCAGTGCACTTCACTCCCAAATGCCCACCTTGGATCTCCACTCACCAAACCCAGCTTTGCTCCTTAAGACAAGATAAATGCCTCCAGCTAGCGCCCCCCCCACGCCCCATCACATTTGCCCTCAGGTATTTGAAGACATCACTCCTTTCCCGCCTGAACAAAATCAGTTTTCACCACCTCTTCAGATGCCCTGATTTCCAAAACTATCCCCTATCATTTTACCCAGAAGTCCCCAGATCATACACACAGCAGATGTGTGCGTCTGCTGAGAGGTGGAAGGTTTGAGTCCACCTAGAGGCACCTCGGAAGAAAGAGCTGGCACTCCCCTTCCAAAAATATCAGCCGCTGAAAGCCTCCTGGAGGCGATTCCATGTGTGTGTGTGTGAGAGAGAGAGAGAGATGGAGAGCTGGAGTCATCTCTGTGGCAACTGTTTGTTTTGTAAATAAGTTTACCCAAGAGAGTCTTGATATCTTTCAATAGCAGACGCAGACACATAATAAAATGACCCATTCTTCTCAGTCAACCTCATTCTCTCAGTCTGCTTGTTACTCTTAAAAACTAGAAGCCTTTCCCCTGGCTAGCAGCGCAGAGGCCGCACGAGGCCTGGAGTTACTGTAAAAGCCGTGAACCAGCGAGAATTGGTCAAGAGCCCTGGCAGCCTTCCTCAGAAAGCCCGGGAAGTGGAAAGTCCTCGAATGGGTAGACACTGTCAAGATGGCCAAGTATTATAAAGAGCTTGCTCCCTACGGTGAGAACCGGATCGGCACACGAGCTCCTTGTACCTCCAGGGCGCCGCTGGCGTTGGCTCCATGACCAGGATCTGTGAGGGGCGGCGGAGAGACGGCATTAACACCCAGCCGCTTCAGCTCCAAAAGTGTGGCCTGCCGGGTCCTCCGAGCCCTGGAGGGGCTCACGATGGTGGAAAAGGACCAAGATGGGGGCCACAAACTGCCACCTCGGGGACAGAGAGATCTGGACAGAATCATCAGGCAGGTGACAGCTGCCAATAAGAATCATTAGAACAAATGACGTTGGTTTAATAAATTGCCTATTCGTAAAAAACAAACAAACCAAACTAGAATAAATCCCATCTTGCAACAACCTAATGCTTTTTTGAACTTCGAATGTAGCAAGATCATTTTTGCATGCAATCACATGTGTTTTGCCACTTTATTTTGTAGGGAGCTCTCATGGCCTAGTGGATAGGGAGTTGCACTGCCAACACAAAGGCAGGGGGTTTGAATCCACCACCTGCTTCTCAAGGAAAAAAAACACACAACATGCCCATGTGTACAGTTCCTGGCCTCTGAAACCCGAGGCGGGTCAGCTGTGAGTCGCTTCTGACCTGCCGGCAATGAGTTTTGAGTTTCTTTTCCTTCTTAAAAATTTTTTACTCTTAAAAAAAATTATCCTTTAGTGGCAAGACACTGCACTGCAATCCTAGAGGTACGTGGTTCAAATCCACCAGATGCTCTGCTGGAGAAGGAGGGGGCAATCTCCTCTTGTACCAGTCAGATCTGATTTGACGGTACACGTAAAAAATAATACAATAAAAAAATTTTAAAAAATAATCCTTTAAGAATTGGTTTTTCTATTTCGATTTTGCAGTTTTATTTTAAAAGCTTCTGTCTGCTGCACTGCAATCCCAGAGGCCCATGGTTTGAATCCACCAGATGCTCTGCTGGGAAAGGAGGGACAATCTCCTCCTGTACCAGTCAGATCTGATTTGATGATACACAGACACACAAAAATAATAATAAAATAAAATTTAAAAGCTTCTGTCATCGTCCACTTAGACCATGATGCAGCCACCTGCCGGCCCTCTTTACAGAGTCTCATTTGCTCTGTCTCACCCAGGAAAGCCTTTAGTGCTGCAGTGCATGAAGCATTGGGCCTTTGTCCAGAACCTGCAGTTTCAAACGCAAAGGGCCAGTTGGCTGAGTGAAAGGATCTTTTCCTCTCCAAGGCCCAGGGTTATATGGTAAAACCTGTGAAAAGCTGGAACCTGTATAAAGCGGAAACTTGGGAGAGAAGGAAAATACACATGCTTGCCGTTAGAACAGTGAAACGGGAAAAGGCAGAGAAGTGAAAAATTGACGGAGAAGTAGGGTCGCCCCATTGGCTTCCAGTTCTCTCACTTTATATTCCTGGGCTGCGCTCTGAAGAGTGCCAGTCGGTGATATCAGCTCCCATCCTAGAGGTCAGCCAGCCATTGCCTTCTGGGTGCAACCCCCTCACACCAGAACCTGGGCAGAGAGAGCAGAGGGGTTGCAGCGGGCGTGTGCAGCTGCCTGGCCTGCCTGAGTCGAGTCTGTGAGCGCTGCAGAGTGTCAGGGGGTGAGTCCCGGGATGCCCCCCCCCCCCCCCCCGAGGTCTGTTAACGTGTGCTTGCTTCTCCCTCTGTCTAGACCTGGGCCTTGGCCCGCGCAAGGTGCCCAGAGAGGCCGAGGACGGAGGCAGGGCCACGTCCGGGAGCTGCCGGAGAGGAAAGCGCCTGCACAGCTCCCCGCAGAACCCGCTCCTGGACTGCAGCCTGTGCGGGAAGGTGTTCAGCAGCGCCAGTTCTCTGAGCAAGCACTACCTGACGCACAGCCAGGAGAGGAAGCACATCTGCAAGATCTGCAGCAAGGCCTTTAAGCGCCAGGACCACCTGTATGTAGGAGTCTCTCGTCAGGAGGACGTTTGTTGGGGGGCGGGGGGGACGTGCACCTGTGTCCCCCTCTCCCCGATTTTTCTCCCCGTCCCGTTTCCCTCGTACCACACGGCTCCACCAGTCCGCCCTGTGTGGGGTCTGCCCACTTCCTGGTCCCCCAGACACGTGTCATCTGGGCTGGGAAGCCGACTCTACCCTCTTCCAGCTGTTGGTGCCCCCCCATGGGTGGGCCCGTCAGGGCTCCCCAGAGAAGTCATCCTCCTGAACCCCCGAATCCACACGCGTGAGGAAACTACTGTTGTTCACATGTAGAAACATTCTCTAGCACTTTGGGCGTGAAGGAAGTTCCACCAACTTGACAGAGAAAGACCCAGGCCCCTGGTACAGGGAGCTCTGGTGTCACAGGGGTTAAGCACTTGATGGCCAGCCACGAGATCGTGGTTCGAAGCCACCAGAAGCTCCGGGGAACAAGGCTGTGACATCTGCTTCTGTAAAGATGGCCATCTGGGAACCCTGGGGAGGGGGGCTCTCCTCCATCCTCCTGCAGGGTCTCTGAGAATTGGAATTGACTCAGCGGCCTGGATTTGGGGGATACAGGGGTACATAGGGTTGCTGTGAGACACAGGCGACTCGATGGCACATAAACAGCATAGCCGAGGGAACCCTGAGGACACGTGATTAAGTGCACAGTTTCTCTGCAAGATCGCTGGGCCCGCCAGCCACTCGTGGGGCCCGCCGCTGTCAAGATCCCAGCTTTGGAAACCGGCTGGGACCCTTCCACGCTGTCCTTTGAGGTTACGGTGCGTGGGAATGCCTGCGTGGAAACAGGCTTGTTTTTTGGGGCCAGCCAGGGCGTGGGGCAAACATCTCCATCCCACCCGGAATACGGATCAGAGGATCGCAGGGCTGAAATATTCTTTGGCTTTGTCTCTTCAGCTCTTGCTAGCTCATCGTTCTTTTTTTAACTCCCTGCTTTTGCAAGGAAGCCCGCTGAAGGAGTTAGGAGCAAGTGTCCCTTTTGTTCTTAATGCCTTAGAAAAGATAAGCAATTCTTGCTCATGAGGGAATAGAAGACAGATGTTTTTCCAAAGCAGGAGACTTGGACGTGGGCGGTGAAAGCCCCTGGTATCTGCGTGCTGCCCTGACCCTCACGGACGGCTTACCGACCGTCTGCATCTCGCCCTCTCCCCTCACACCCCAGAAAGAAGGAATTGGCTCTGGCCGCAAGCTGGGAGCAGAGGTGGGGCTAGGACTTAGCCCTCATCCTTCCTCTGAAGCCCCTGAGTGTCACAAGCCCTGAACAACTAACCAGAAGGTTGGCAGCTCAAACCCACCCCGGAGTGCCTTAGTGGAAAGGCCTGGCAATCCACCTCCAGGAGCTCACAGCCTTGAAAACACTGCCGAGCTCAGTTCTCTAATACACACGGGGTCGCCATGACCCCAGGGTTGCCCGAGAGGAGCTCATAGGTGTTGCTTCCCTCGGCTGGGAGGGTTGGTTATCTGATTTACTGGGCCCACCTTCTGTGCCCTGTTTTAAGTGGCCACAGCAAGACACTATACAGACACTTATACAGCAAAGAACCCCCTTTGGCCCAGTAATTCAGTGTTTGGTTGCAAACCAAAAGGTCAGCTAACCAGCAGCTCTGCAGCAGAAAGACCTGGTGATCTGCTCCCATAAAAACTGGAGCCTGAAACTCTCCTCGGGCAGCTCGCCCTTGTCACATGGGGTCGCTTTAAGGCAACGCGACAGCACCCAACAGCAGCAGTATTTCTATATTAAAAACATCAAGCAGTGTTTATATATTTATTGCTGCTGTGTACCGTCGAGTTGGAACCAGCTCACAGCTGGCCCTCCCGCAGGTTTTCAGAAGCACTTAATTGCACGAGAGGATAGTGCCCATCGTTCCTCTGCAGTCTGGGGGTGGAGGGGGCTCGAGGTGGGGTCTCCTTATCGAAGGTGCAGCCTCCCTTGGATCCCCGAGGTTGATAAACCCAAAGCATTAAGCAGATACCCCTGTCTTTATGGCCTAATTCTCTCATTGCTAAAGTGTGCTGGGGCCTCCAAAAACGGGGTGACTTGTGAAGCCATTTGCCACCTGACCTGGCATCCTCAGCGGGCGCCCCGTGGGGAAATTTGGCCAGGCTTCCCTTGGTTTGTGTTGTCGGCGAGGGGTCTATTTTGCAGAGAGCAATTGCCATTCTCCTTGTAGTAACGGGTGGTTTGGTGGTCACCCCTGTGTGTGTGGATGTTACTTCTGGGCCAGGGGGAGAGGCCTGGGGTCCCAGCGGGGTAGGTCAGTGGCCTTCCTCGTGCTGTTTCTGTGCAGGGGAGACGCCTGGGGTCCCAGCGGGGTGGGTCAGTGGCCTTCCTCGTGCTGTTTCTGTGCAGGGGAGACGCCTGGGGTCCCAGTGGGGTGGGTCAGTGGCCTTCCTCGTGCTGTTTC